CGGCGGCCCCGGCCCCGCTCCGTGCTCTTGTCTCGCCGGTCGAGCCCCGGTTTGCGCGGGTTTTCCTCTCCCGCGGAGGGCCCTGGAGCGGGAGCGGGAATCCTGTCGAGCCCCAGGAGCGGCCGGAGCAGGAGAGGGCGGCGTGAAGCCACTTTTGCTGCACATGGGGGCTTAATAGATGCAATTAAATATTAACGTTGTGCTAATAAAAATTAAATTTTCAAACGCTTGAGAAGCTGTAAATAGGAAATATTGCTGCAGGAGGGTTTTTTTTTTTTGAGGGAAAGAAAAAAAAATAATATGGAGGAGTGAGAAAGAAATAGAGCCCAAAAGTTAGCATCATCCTCTCAGTGACTCGCTAATCACATCTTTGCGCTGACCACTACGTCTCTGAACATGTGTCACTTGGTGGAGCAAGAGCAAGTGCTCACCTTGTAGAGCTCCACGGGTCCTATTGTGTTTAAATCTGGCCTTTAGTTGTATACCTTCCTATAGATAAAAGGTTATTGCACTTTAACAGGGGGAATAATCTGTCCTGCCTTCCTACCTGGACAGCAGCTGCTAACGTGAACTCCAGCTACTAGAGGAATAAGTCATAGCCTGGCACTGTGCGTGCCACTCCATCCCCAGTGTGGTAGCCATCTAAAACAAGTATCTTATATTAGTTCACGTGTAATTCCTAGCAGGCAGAAGTATGCGTATTTAACAGCCTGTCTCCAGTCTTTGGATATGATGTAAATATATATTAATGTAAAACTTAAATCCAGTGACCAGTTTCACTTGGCTTAAGTCCGAAACCCAAGTGTCGAGGAAGAGTAATTTAAGTGTCTCTCTGTTGGGGATGGTAAGAGGTGTTTGAGGGAAGAAAGGGGTGTGTTACTGATTGTTCATCACTTCAGGGGATGGTGGTGTGCGTGTGTGCATATATAAATATACACATGCCATGTATGTATACGCACACACGTATACACATTCACCCGTACGTGCATTCACTTGCTATTTCTTTTCCTTTTCCCCCTCTTCCCTGCAGAGTCAAGATGGCTAAAGGTGATCCGAAGAAGCCCAAGGGCAAGATGTCTGCCTATGCCTTCTTTGTGCAGACGTGCCGTGAGGAACATAAGAAAAAGAACCCAGAGGTTCCAGTCAACTTTGCAGAGTTCTCCAAGAAGTGCTCGGAGAGGTGGAAGGTAACTTAATTTGTGACTTCCTCAAGGGATGTAACTTCTTATGGTGCCTGCTAGGACGATGTGCGTGTGTGTGAACACGAAGGGAGCCGGTGCTGTTTTGGTCTTTGTGCCGCTTTTGGCAAGGCATCCTGGCCATTGATCGGGTGCTGCTGATTCCTGTAATGATTGTGAAGGCTGGAGCCCGGTGTATCTGCCCATTTAGGTGCTTTCACTACAGCCTGGCCTTTTATTCCTATTCCCAAGCGGTGTCCTTCAGCAGTTACCTGCCTCCAGGCCTCTCTGTCCTTGAGGGGGCTGTGCTTGTCCCATTCCCGTTACTTCCCTCTTGCTGCGTGTGCCAGTTGTGGCTGCGGTCCTGCGCAGGACCTTTGCCCCCAAGGTGGTCCAGTTAGAAAACAAGCAAATTCTGAAACTCCCCTGTCGTACACAGTTGGTATGTGTTGGCTTGTTTACTTAAAGTTTGCCAGCTATTGAACAGTTGGGTAATCGCAGGTTTGGTGTCTTGTTTTTTGGTTTTTTAGACCATGTCAAGCAAGGAGAAGGCTAAATTTGATGAAATGGCAAAGGCTGATAAGGTACGATATGATAGAGAAATGAAGGACTATGGACCAGCTAAGGGTGGCAAGAAGAAGAAGGACCCCAACGCCCCAAAACGACCACCGTAAGTAACTTTGAGGCATTAAATTTAGGTTTGTTTTCATGCTCTGTAACACACTGTTGGGTTTCTATAAAGGAAGTAGATGGGGCATACTGTTGGTATAGCAGTGTTGGTAATATTCATAACTTGATTACAGTATTGTAAATCTTCTAGATAGCTTGTAATCTTGAGCACTAACAGGAATTTTCAATACTTGGTATCCTTAAACTTGTTCTGATGAAAGGTACAGAAGTGATCTAGTCACAGCGAGACTTGTGTATCTGAGATGAAATTGGGTGGGAAGGATAGACAGCACTTCATTAAAAACAATACTTGGGCGAAGGCTGCAAGTCTGGGCCTCGATAAAATCAGATCACGTTTGGGTTTGCTTTTTTGTTTGTTTGTTTTTAAGTAAAAAAAAAGGTGTCTCGGTGTGTGAGTGCATGTGCGGATGTTGTGGGTGAGGAATGGAGGAAGGAGTTGCTCCCTGGGCGTGCTGCTGCGGTGCTGACTGTCCTCTGGTGCTTCTCCCCAAGGTCTGGCTTCTTCCTCTTCTGTTCAGAGTTCCGCCCCAAGATCAAGTCGACAAACCCTGGCATATCCATTGGGGATGTAGCAAAGAAACTGGGCGAAATGTGGAACAACCTCAGTGATGGTGAAAAGCAGCCTTATAATAATAAGGCAGCTAAACTGAAGGAGAAGTACGAGAAGGTAAGGCTGGTTTTCACTTGTGCCGTTCTGTACCAACTCTTGTGTTGATGCGTTTCTGTAACGTAGACCCAACTAAGGTGGCCCTAGCGTAGTGAGCATCTCTACCTTATGGGCTTGTTCTCATTGCGCTCTGTGCTACGTAGCCGAGCTTTGCGTGCGTTGGGATGGAGTAGGTTAGAGAGCGGCAGGTGGATTCAGTGAGGAGGGAGAGCTTTCCCCCAGTGACGCACAGCGGCGGCTCCTTGTGTCGCTCCGGCACAGGGTTTGCTCTGCTGTTAAGGAGCTTTGTCCCGTTAGCAGGAAACTTGTAAGAGACACTGGGTTATTTCCTCCTCTTCAAAGAAATAACTGTGAACGCAGGGTTCAAGGCCTCCATCATCTGGAGGCGGTTGAGTATGCTTAGGTGTCTGCCGATCTGTGTTCGGTAACGCTGGCTGGCTCCCTTCTTGGGGGTGCAGCTGTGAAAGGCCAGTCCCTTTACGTTAACGCCCGCTGCTGTACATATGCTGTATGTGTTTGCTGCCTAGAGCAAATTAAGACATCCCCTTGACTTTGCAGGATGTTGCAGACTACAAGTCTAAAGGAAAGTTTGATGGCGCAAAGGGAGCAGCGACCAAAGCTGCTCGGAAAAAGGTAGAGGAAGAAGACGAAGAGGAGGAGGAGGATGAAGAAGAGGAGGATGAAGATGATGATGATGAATAAAACTGTACAATACTTGTCTCCATGTGAATACCATAGAGTAGGGGAAACACCATAAATGAAGCACCTCTTATTTGAGATGGTGTCTCTTGCCCTTATTAGGCTTAATTAAAAAAAAATTTGGATGCCGATCGCGTTGTAGTTTCTAAAAGTGCTCTAGAAATTGTAACTGGTTTACATGAAGTGGCCATGGGTGTAGTGAGCACCCTGAAACTGTATCAAAGTTGTACATATTTCCAAACATTTTTAAAATGAAAAGGCGCTCTAGTGTTCTCCTAACTCTGTGCACTTTGCTGTTGGTGTAACAAAGCATTTAAAAATGTTTCAAGCATTTTTTTAATTTGTAAGGTGGTGTTACTATATGGTTATTGGCTAGAAAATCCTGGGTTATAAACTGTACATATCTATAGTTTGTAAAAACTAGACAGATTCTTGTGGTACATGCTTAGAGTTATGATGCCTTAGAGGAGCAGTGATTACTTGGAGAGGCTGTTTGTTCCCCAGGGTGCCATGGCCCAAAGCATGCACTGTGAGGGTAGATCTATTTACACTACAGTGGGCGTCCATTTAGCTTAAAGTTGTCTTTCTGTATATAGTGAAATAGCATTCTGCTGCCATTCTTAGTTGTGGAAGGGGGTTCAGCTGGCATGAGAAGTGTATGGATTTTTTTAGTTAAGTGCGGTAGTTTTTAAACTGAAACTGTAGACATCTCTTCATCGTCAACTAAGTGAAGAGCCAGTGCAGCAACTGAAGTTCAAAAACACTCTGTACTTAAATGAATTTGCAACGTTCTGGTTTTTTTGTATGTTTAGAATGCTGAAATGTTTTTGAAGCAAAATAAACAGTATTACATTTTTAAAACTGTTCTTGACAACACTCTAAATTTCTGGTTTAAAAGGATCTTAACAACAGCAAGAGGTTCATTTTGAAGTCTGTGGCATCCCTCAGGGCTGGTGACTTTAGGAAACATTCTGACTCAAGGATTAAATAAAAAAAAAAATAAAAATAAATGGTGGCCAGCCAAAACTGGCTGAATTGAAAGAGATGGCTGCTCCAGCTAATATGCAATCATAACTGTTTATGGCTGAGTGGCATAAGATGCTATGCAAGTTTGAACTTTATTACTTGAACTTGGGAGCCTAAATGAACATTCATGACATAATTGTTTGTTTGTGTGTGTATATAGCAGCATTCAGAGATGCAGAGAAAGGTAGGTGGCTAGGAATGAGGCTGACACCATGGAATAAGTATAAAAGCATAGTTGGATTTTTTTTTTTTCCTCCAGTTGTGTTGGGTAAATTTATAGCCCAAATGCATTGCTGTACATATTAAAATGTGCCTTTTTTGTCCTGTGTTAAACTGTTTCGGACTTGTGGTTTTTTCTAGCATCTTAACTTGTGGCAGGAGCCAGGCGCCTGGTCTAACCCTGCTGAAGTAGGAGCATGGCGCAGGTACTTTGTCCTTTCTCTAACGATGCAAGTTTTAATAGGGACTGGGTGCTGCGTGGTGGGTTGGGGGAGCAGTGCAGGTCTCTTTCCCCTTTGGTGACCAGCTGCCTGTGTTGCAGTCTTGCTGTCTATCCAAATCCAAGCTGGGGATGTTTTGCAGCCCTTGAAAGGGAAAGTTAATACCTGGTCTGTGGCTGGCAACTCTTAACCTCATTTTTCCTTAGCATGGAAACTCTACAAACTGGGGAAACTATAGCACCCCATTGCTACCCTTGGCTTCCCTCCTTGTGCTGGCTGTGGTTAGCAGTCAGTGTTCGCTTGGCAGCCAGGAGGAGATGGGAGGGTGAGGATACTTGCATTAATAGCAAGTCAAAGTTGTGGGCTGACTTACTAGGACAGGGTAACTTGTAAGTGTAAACTGCGGGTATGGGCTGCTGCCACTGCTTTGTTTGAGCCAAACTGCAGATTAATGAGGGCCGGGCTAACTTAACAGGCAGTAACTGCTTGTAGTGTGGGTAAGACTGCTCTGTTGGCTAATGGGGTAGCACATCTGGCTACCTGTGACTTCTCAGCATCCATGGTATCTTGGGAAAATGGCTTGATCCTAGTGTTGAAGATGGACTAGAACCTGAAAGCAAACCCATGCACAACGTGGTATCTAATAAACTATGAAACGTAGCAGTGTAGCAACTTTTTTTTTCAAAGCTAAATTACAGTTGGATTACTTGGAAATACTTCTGTAGTTGCTTCATTATGGCGATTCTTACTGTCCAATGTACAAAAAGCCAAGTGTGAGATGGCCCCTATTCTATGGGACGTTACATTTTAAAAGCCTCAATAAAGCTGCATCTGCAAAAGAATTAGGTACCTCTGTATTCCCTCCCACTTCTACATGTCTTCTGATGCAAGGGAGAAGTCGACTGGAGATTCCAGCATGTGGAAATGTGATGGGGAAGTGGTGGAGCAGAAGAGAAAAGCGATGGCATCATTTCGGGAGCTGTAATACTGTTTCTATTGTCTAGTTGGCAAAATCTCCCCTTAGCCACATATGAGAATTAGTGTAGATCACTGCTGTGCAAATCGAGCTTGGCTTTGAATTAACTGCTAGTGAGCTGAGCCCCTATTGATAGTATTAGCAAATAAGAACTAGAGCTGGCACCTCTTTGTCTTTGTTATATTGGAAATCTATCGAGTTGCAGGGCTTGATTAAGGTCTTGGACCTTACAGTGCACTACCTATTCCTGCTCTGCAAACTTTTGAAATGTGGCATGCCTTGGGGATGCTGTTCAATGCAATGCTAGTGCAGAACTCCAGGGCCTCAAATTTGGATATTGCAGATCTAGTGATGTTTCTGCCCTCAATACCCTGCCATTGATAAATACCACAGTGTGAATGTGTATAAATAACACGTGATTTCCACCACAAAACCAACTGGTTTTTGTGTTCTGAGATGTCATCTCCAATATTGGGAACTGCCTAATTTCACCTAGCTCCATTTTTTTTGTTAGAACACCCTCCAAATGCTCTTTTGGCTTTGAAATGGCTATGGTGTTTCAGAGCAGACACTTCCACTTCGGGCTGCTGTAACAGCTGCAATTTCGACTTCGGTTCCCAAGCCAAGTGGAGCAAGTACATCTCTTATTAACTCCATTATATGTAGAGAAGGGTAATGATAAAATAGATTTGGGGAAAGGGAGGGATGAAGAGAGACTCTTCTTGCATGACTTTGGCAGAGCTGATTGTGAGGTGGCTTGTGTTCCCAAAATGTGATTTGTTGCATCCCCCTGTGGCTGCTGAAGTCAGGCTGAGGGGGGCTGTGAGGACAAGGCTTGCACAGATCATTTCCCATGGTTGATGCTGTTTGGGTTGTGCTCAGAACTATGTGTAGGCCTGAGAACGCAGTTGCTACCGAAATGCACCACATCTCTCTGAAATCAAACCAGCTTGGGGGTGATGGGATGAAGGGGGCTGCTTTGTGCAGGCCAGAGCCTGCCACTGCTGAAAACGAGCCCGACAGTCTATTAGCATGACCCGGGGAGGCAGAGGAGTGATGCTTTCCTGCTGCTCTGTAGCCTATACATTTCTAAATTCAGTTGAAATGTGGTAAATGCTTGGTGCAAGCTGAACATGAACCCTTGGACTAAAGGGGGCTCTGGAGGAGGGAGCACATGGGGGGAAGCCCCACTGTGGGTGTAGGTTTGCTCACTGCAAGCAGTCACAAGCAAAACTGTGCTGCAGGATGGTTTCCTACTGCTCATCTCGGTGTCCTAATGCATCTGTGGGGAAGCAGTGCATTAATTTTTCTGTAATAAAATTAATTAAAAATCCTAGTTCAAATGCACGTTGAATCAATTAGCAGCGAATGGCTTCAGCTCTAACAGAGGTCCGTAGGAAGGGGAGAGTCTGCTGTGGGGATCGTACTGGGGATACAGGCAGAGTTGAAACATCTCTCTTACCTGCTCCCTTTGATTTTGATATAGTTTTATTAACTCCTAACAAACCCTGCAGGAACAGCAGTGAGGTGCGAGGGCTTCTGCTGGCTCTGGCTCAGGCGGTGGCAGGTGAACGGCTTTTTGCTTCCAGCCTCCAGCACAATTTTGGCAGCCGTTCCGAGTTTCTGTTTTCCCTCTGCTTGCTCAGGCTGTTGTTCCACGGACAGAGAAACATCACCCAAGGAAGCCTGTTTCTGCTGAGGGTTTTGGGAAGCAGGGCTTGGACCTGGCAAAGAGGCTGGGATGGGCCCTCCCTACTGGCTTTGCTGGGGCGAGAGCAGGACCCTGTGTTCACAGCCGCGCTGCCGCTCGCTTTCTGACAGACCCCACGCTCCCCTCTATGGATGTGAGCCCAAGCTCGCTCTTCTCTTAAGAGATAACGGGAGCGACTGTGACAAGTGACAGATTGATTTCTTTCTGCTAGGGCTGCACATTTTAATGCAATAAACTGAATTGCGAATTGCAGCTGCACTGCAAAACAAAGTGTGCTAGAGACCGTGGTACTAAACGGCTGCTCTTCAAATGCGTTTCAGCTTGCAGTGGAAAAGGGACCACATCATCAGCGTGCCTGACAGAGGGTTTCATGCCCTGTGAGGTGTCTTCATCCCTTTTCAGCAGACTGGGCTGTGGTGTGAGCATGTGTGCCCGTTTGGGCAGCATTTGGCGACCTGTGTTCAAAGCACTGCACCAACATCTCATACTTTAGGTCTGATACGCACTTGCTAAGTGGGGTGGGGATGAGCTTGTGCTGACAGTCCTTGCCTGTGCTAACAATCCTGATTGGAATTGTCTGCTGCTAAGAGCTCTTCCCTGAGCACCGGGATCCCTAAATTAGGCAGGAGAAGGTGTCCACAGCCCTGCTAGAGCTGATAGCTATGCCTCCCGGGTGGTGAGTACCTCCTCCTCTTGTTCCTGGATGTGGCACAGTCTCACAGAAATGCCTATAAGGTAGTTAAACCAGGGTTAGTCTTTCTGTTAAGCCAGAACAGACATGGCAAGCGACCTCCTCGGGTCTCAGCAGCCTGGGCACTGTATGGAGCAGCAAACTGGTGCTGTGGTGGGGTTGAGACCTTTGGAGGCTAGGATGTATAAAAGCAAATCTTTGTCTTGTTGATGTGGAGAGGTGAAAATGCATTAACCAGGGTAAGGGGATGCCTGTCCTGTACCTGTGTCCCCTGATGTGGTTGACTTCATGTCCCTGGCTGAATCTAGCAGCCAGGAAAATCCCAGCTGGGAACTGAGCTTTGCTGTGGCACTGGACGTTTCAATGGTGTTTGCTGTTGACTTTTGAGTTCCTGAAGTGCAGAGTACCACCGCTGTGCCCCCATACCTGCCACCTTGGCATGCTTCTGGCTGGGTGCTCCCCACAGACACCTGAGGAGCAGGAGCAGCCCCTCTGCATGGGTGTCACCTACCTGTACACGCTGCTGTAGCCAAGCCTGTGTGAGGAGACAGGCAGGCAGGATGCTATGAGTGATGAAGTTGCTTTTTCTTCCCAGCCTTGCCCCTTGTAAAGCTCCCTTGGGTATTTCAAGTCAGAAAAATGTTCTTTTTTTTCCCCCAATATTAATCAAACATGGGCTGGCTTTGTTGCTGTAAGAGCTTATTACTTGTAAGTGTTTTTAACTGCTGCTTTGTGAAGCTTAAGATTTGCTTTATGTTAGTTTAGAAAATTAAGACGTGTAGAAGAGTGAAGTGGTTTGAGGGATTGCTTGAGACAAATGCCTCTTGCCTGCTGCTAATTACTGTGTGATTGCTCTTTTCCTATGTATTACCTGGGATGTACCAGCAATAATTCATGGTCTTGCAAAAGAGGCTCAAAGAAGGTGGAAGCAGAGGCAAATTGGTCTCTGGTTTTCTTAACAAAATATGTTGGTCAAGTTTTGTTGTCTTTAGCTTTAGAGCTCAGGCTGGGGATCTTCCTTGCAACTGTTTTAGGAATTGCTACCTGCAACTCCAGGTGAAGGTCACTCCCCAGTAGCAGGGTGAGCAAAAGCAAACGTGCATTGGGTCTTGTATTGCTTGATTTTGTTGCTTCATTAAGTAACTTAATTTTTGCAAGCTGCTGGGAGGTTTTTCAAACCAAGCTCGAAGATCAAGGTGTAAGTAAAAGCCTTAAAGAGAACTCTTTCTTCCAAGGGCTTGTCTGGAAGTGGAATAAAACCTGACCAAATAGTGTTAAACTGTCTCATTAAAGATCAGTGTCACTTATTGCATTCATTGGGGGTTCCCCACCAGAGAGAGCTGCCTAAGCAAAGAAGTCAGCTAGATCAGACTTGGTGTTTTGAGCCTTGAGGGCAACTTGCAAAAGACCTTCAGTGGTTTTGAACATAGGAGGAGTTGGCCTTGTTTGTTTTCCGCTATTCCCCGTACAACTGCAGTATGTCACCTTCCCCTCTTCGGGCCTTGCAAAGGTAGA